GAGAACCACCGAATTCTGCCCGCAGGTGTAGAAAGGACCGGCAAGAAGGAATCGCCTGGGGGTGTTCTCAAGTGAGCCGACGCGGCGACACCGCCGTCGCGACGCCACATCTGGCGAGATCGCGGCACGAGCGAGAAGGACAGAGAGAGAGACCCGAGGCCTCGCGCGCGAGGTAGGAGGCGACCGCGGCGTTCGCGCACGCGTGCTGGCCCGTTCCGATCAGTCAACCGGTGGCGAACGTCGCCTGGTTCTTGGAACTTCGGTTTCGCGCGCGGAGCCGCGATCGCGAGTTGCCGAGGCGCCGAATCGCCGTTCGCCCCGCGCGCGCGCGCGCGCGTGTGTCCTTCGCGGCGAGTTTGTTTACGACGCGCGGAACGCCGTTGGAGAGGAATCTGACAATCCGACTCCCGGCGCTCACAATCGTTGCCGAGCGAAATTGAAAACGGGACACGACGTCTCCTGACGGACGTCGTACGTTCGCGCGAGTTTTTTTCCGAGAGGGGACGGAGTGAAATTTATCGGCGACGCTCGCGGAAGAACGATTCGTCAAGTTGGCCAGATTGTTTAAAGATTCTTAACGAATTCTTGCGACGGGAAAGGAGGAAGATAACGAAGGACACGGGACTTGTGTGCATCGGTTTCGGAGAACGGGAGGAATTTGGAGTTCGTCACGACGGGACCGATAAAAGGAAAGGAGGCGGAGTGCGATAGGAAGAGCGAGAGGAGAGATAAGACGCTTCGCTCGAGCGAGGAAAAGTGGCCATTTTAATACCAGTGACTTGTTACTCCGAGGGAAGCCTCCGATATTTTCCGTATGTTTTTTCCGGTTGAGACGGGATACAGATTTCTCCGTGGATTTATTCGTGAGTTCAGCGTTCCGTCGTGTCGCCAACGTTGTCGTCGTGGCGATTGCTGTCACTGCTGCTGTCATAGTCGCTGGAATGATGTATTGCGCGTACAATGACAATCGCCAAGGTGGATCATCATCGCGAATGCCGGTAGCAGATCGTCGGTGGTGAATGGAGAATTAACGCAGTGGATCAGATCGCACGTACAATTAATACAGAGTGATGCAGTGCCGTAGTGTTAGTGACCAGTGCCACGTGCCCGTTGTTTGGATTACTTGAAGATGCCTTCGTCCGGTGGATATTATGACGACAGGAATCCTCTGCTCAAGGGCACCTTATCGAGGTGAGTACAGTCTCCCTTTTCTCCATCGCAGCACTTTAAACTCGGCAAATTCGGTGCTGTCGTTGGTATTTAAACGGAAAATTGTCAGTTGCAATATTTTCGAGATTTTTTTCGACGAGCATTATAATACCGTGCAACAAAAAAAATTCTTTTTCACGCATGAAAAAATATGTCCGTAAAAGTACAGACGAAATCTGGCGCGTTCCGTTCCGCGAGATTAAGTTATTTATGTTTTTGTGCATATTTGAAATTTAAAAAAGATCAATTTAGTCGTGATGCAACATGAAATTTTGCGTCTGAAAATTATATATTTCCATGTAAAATTAGTTATTGAATCCAGAAATGATAAAATTAATGCGATTGGAGCAAAAGAAAATAAAACAAATTTGTAATAAAAAATTGCTCACATTTTTCTTAGCTTTTTTACCATTCTTTTTGTATATGTTAATGAAAAAGATGCAATTTTCGAGATACTGCGTGTTTTAAGCGCAAATAAACTGCACACATAACCAAAATTATTATGATTCGAATATTGAATTTTTTTTTACTTTTAAGTTTTGCTTCATCAACTTGTTTTGTCTTTGTTTCACATGCTGAATGTAAATTGAGCAAGCTGTCAAATTGCGAAATGTCAAACTGCTGTTAAAATGTTAAAGTACATTCACTTGACATATAATGGTTTATCTACTAAAAAAAATCATAGAAAGGCCGGAGAAACCGAAGAAAACGAGAAATTTGCAATTTAAAAATGTATTTTTTCACCATTTTGCTTTGCTTTAGTTACTTTAATTTTATCATTTTCGAGTTCAGCTACCAATTTTATATGAAAATGCATAATTTTCAAACAATTGTAAAATTTTATCTTGAAAATGACCTTTTTAAATTTCAAATTACATAAAAATAACTTGATCTCATGGAATAAAACGTACTTCTATGTTAGATTTCGTTTTTATTTTCACGGAGATGTCGATTTTTTTATGTGTAAGAAAACAATTCTTTTTTGTTACCTGATGTAATATATTACAATTCAAAATTTTTTCGTGTGATTTAATCATTAAACAACTAATAATAATTATAAACAAATCAATAATTATAAATCCTTTGTGTAGTCTAAATTTGTCATTGCTTCTAATTCGATTCATTTGGTAGTAGCAATGAACATGCAAATCATTATAACCGTAGTATCATTGCCTAATTTAAAATGTTAATTGGCAAAATCCATTACCAACTGCCTTGACTTATGGTCGTTGATATGCACATCCTCTTCCCATATCTTCAACTAGTTTACATATATTTTCAAAGCGGAAGGGAGCGAGATACATTTTATATTTTCTAGTTAAAGTGTACACACACACACACACACGCGCGCGCGCGCGCACACACACACACACACACACACACACACACACACACATACGTAAGAGGAAGCGCTGAAAGAGAGAGGGAGAGAGCTGCTTCTTGCGATCGCGAAGTGAAAAGCACGTTCCCGTTGTAGATGTTGCAGAGTTTGAGGAGTTAAACAGACTACGGTCAGCATTCTCAGCGCACGTTTAGTATGCGGCTATCTAATACACTGCTCTTATTTACACGGTGTATACATATCCCGGTAAAATTCACAACAGACGAAGGATAAAGCGAGCCACATTTTTTTAACGCTAAACGAGAACGCGACGTGAAACGCGATGTCAACGTCATTTGCGTGTGTCTATTGAAATTTTTAACATCTCATCTGAAAAGATTCACATTTTTTTATCACAACATATACTGTAATTATATAGTCTTATGACATTATACAGTTCGTAAATCGGTGACGATCTTTCAATCAACTTAATAATAATTGATAATTAATAAACCTAGATATCTACTATCTGGAGAAACTTGGAAAATCTAGAATTTTTAGGGAATTTATGTCTTAAAAATATTACGAAATTTTCAAGAATTCTTTTCTTTTCTTTTTCTAATATTTTATCTTTATAATTGGAAGTTTGTCGGTTGAATTATTAACGACAATGGCTTCATCCACTTTAAATATCGAAGCACATTGATTTTAAGACTAATTCAATATTCAGTATTGAACACATCGATTTTGTGTTAGATGTAATTTTTTATTTAATGAAGATAAATATTTGTTTTAATAATTTTATAATAGTTGAATTTTGTGTTGGTTATGAGCATTATATAATTTTCTGTTTGCTTACGAAAATAAGGTTAGAAAATTTTATGCAATATAAATATGCATATATTTATTTTTTAAAATCCTATATAATTTTTAGACTATAGTTTCTTTTAAAATTTGTGAATTTCATCATTGAAAATGAATTTTACTTTATGATTCATAAACTTTTATGAGTGGAAAATATTAAGAATTTTGTATTTTACAATAAATATATATTTATTTACATTAAGTAAGATACATTTAAAAATATTTTTATTTGTTCTGGAATTCTTAGCAATCGCCTTGAAAGTCTGAGAATTCTCAGGAAAATTTTTTTTTTCGCGTTTGAGTAGACAACTTATAAATGCGAATTGCACACAAATTAAATCAACTATATAACTCGGAATTTTACATTCATGAAGAATCTTGAAGAGCGTACTTTCTTTAACATTTGCTATTATTTGAGGGATAGAAACGTTTCATTAAACGTTTCAAGCAGGAAAATCTCGATACATTTAAAATCCATGATGAAAGTTTTACACATGTCGGACATACGGATTGCGTTCGATCCGGTTTCGTCGGGTATTTTGGCGCACGGTTTATAAAAACGACGGCCTCGACGTCGCGTCGTTATGTCGGTGCATTTGTAACTGTTGTCCTTGGTGCGGCCCTGTTAAATGCAAACTAGCAAATGAAGGGCAATCCGTATCGATATCCGACTTGCGTCTGGTTTACGCACGCATCCCTCGCACGTGTCTGCGACTTGCGTGCGTAGCCTCGCCGCGGCGATCGAACACACGGCCTTTAATTTATCAAATGTCGAAACTCGCGAACACTTGTAACACACAGAAGGAAAAATAACAAGTCGATTATACATGCAGATAATCAATTATTTAATTATTATGTAACAATCAACGCGTAGCAAAACACCATCGATAAGGCAAATAGCAAAACGATAATATAACTATAATTATTGAAAATAACGGAAAACAACTTTAAAGGAGATAGAGAAAGATAACAATTAAAAATGTAAGTGGCGGAAAATTGAATTAACCGTAAAGCGCCTAGGAAAATTGCTCTTGCCATTATCCAGACGCTTCATTTATGAAAAATGTAATTAAGTTTTTTTTTTTTTTTTTTTT